TGCTGTAGCTGTGAGAATATGCAACCGGCATGCCGAACCTGTGCTAAAAGTGCTAGCTGATCGACGGGTTCATGAGCAAACAATAAATTAGATTGTGCTTTCCAGCTAGCAGTACTAGATGGATACACAATGTAGTAGAACAGGGCCTTTCGCAAAGCGAGCAAAAAACTCAGACTTGAAGTTTGACATGGTGTGCGTACAGGCCCTCACAATGACTTCAAACAGGCTGGTGTGGGAAATGCAGGGGAGGAAGGGGAAGGGGGGGAGGGGGAGGCGGAGGGGGTAAAGTGATACTTTTTTCGGCGGGGGCATTGTCCGTGAAATCAGGCCAATTGTCCGTGAAATAACGCCCATTGTCCGTGAAATCAAGGCCATTGTCCGTGAAATGCGCCCATTGTCCGTGAAATTACGGGATCTACAATACACATTTTTCAGCGTTGAACTAAGTGAGTGCCCCCCCCCGACGGCGCAACCTACAAATGGGAAAAGGAGGCAGGTGTATGACCTTGGGCCGGTGAGAATCGTCAGGCGACTGACGCTGTTGATGCTTGCCCGCAGCTTCATGATACCCGGAGATTTCGGGGGGGGGGGGGTCGATTTGTAGCTGTTTCACAAAAGCATACGTGATTTTCGTAAATCGACGGGTCTTGAGGCTGAGCGGCATTTTTGTTACTTGCAACATGTCATCGAACTTTGTGGCTTTATGGCACCGCTGCTTTCAACTCGCTCTTTGTGGGCACTTTTCCTGAATTTGCGTTGGACTTACAGCTCGCATCGCGCAGCCACTTGTTCCGCAAAAGAGGGCCAAGTGCCACAGTACATCTTTGCAGTCCATGTTGCCTCGTGCCACAAATTTTTTGCGCAACGCACTCCCCAATACGGAGATACTCTCAGCTTCAACAGAGCGCTGCGCAGCATGCACGACAAGCATTGGACAGGGTTCGAATGGCCAGACAGGCACAATTGGCTGCTGGCATTGCTAGGAATTCAATTTGCTTGACAAAAGCCATGCGATCTTCAGGTAAGACGCCATTTCCGCTTTTGCCTTTTGAACATCCTGTGTGAACCGACCTTCTTTGCAATAAGTGTCGTTGGCTGCTCATAACATCCAGGATGTTGATGGGTTTTGTTGATCAATCACTTATCAGCCGCGGACATATCGGATCTGAAGGTCCGCTTCCAATTAGACTTCACAGCAAAGTCTGAGCCCGAAGCACTGCATGCCACCTTCAGGAAACGCAGAAATCGAGGGCTGCAAAGCTCGCTTGCATGCTCTGAAAATTCATTGGCGGGCACCCAAGCAAAAGCAACGGAAAGAGCAAAAAACGATTCGGCAATTTTCACCAGCCTGTCGCCGATCTTTTCCAGCCAGTCGGCAATCTTTTCCGGCCAATCAGCGATGTGTTCCGGACCCATATTTGAAGTCGTCGGTGCGCGCTTTTGAGGACGGGCCTTATCTGTGATTTGGGAATCCAAATTAAATTCCGCCCAAGAGCTGCAAGGCAAGATATGCCCAAGTAAAGGCTTCTTTGGACATGGAGCTCGTGCAATGGACTTTACATCATGAGTGATAGTGCAAGGCAGGGCTCACGGCTTGAACTGGGCCCCAACTGCAACACTTTATAGTTTTGCGCTGCATGTACGAGAAGGGGTATGGGTTCCGAGGCGAACATGCTGAGTGGAGCTGCATGCATGCACTCTGCGTAATATTGTGTTGCTACTGCTTTTGCTATGGTGCCGTGTATGCAGTGGATTATGCTGCCAATGCTGCTTCTATGGCACCCTGCAGCCGCAGGGTTTGCATTCCAGGCGTGCATTTAACTAATTGTGCGGTCGATACTCAAGCGCCTCGAGTCAGCTTTATCAAACATGGGGCAAACAATATGGTGTTACACGGTATGTGTGCGCAGTGCAGAGTCTGGACATTGAGAGAGCACACAGCCCAAGAGCCGCGAATGTGCAACGCAAACGTGCCTGGGCTGAGCAGCTATGATTTGCAATCGGCGTTTTTGTTGCTTGAATCGGCAGCATTTGCTTGAATTGGTGTCATTTCTCTAAATGAGCTCAAACACCAATCGGCAAAAAGTGTACTTTCAGAAGGTCCAGGTATGTGGTTTGTGCGAGAATGCCTGCACGCGGGCTCTCATAACTCCGGAGGTCGCCTTTGCGCCTGAAACCGGCCAAGAAAATTGTGAGACAGGGCCACATTACACAACATGAGGTTCAAAACGGTATGGAGCAGAGTAGATGTTGAACGGTGGCCACCACCCAAGCGAGATCAGGGCATGACAAGGTGATGCCACGGTGAGCTAAGCACCCAACTACAACACAACGACGACGCTGCGATGAAAAGTGCAAGGGTGTAAGGAATGCTTGAAACCACATAATGGAGATATCGGGTAATTTGGGTGCTAAACAGGGCTAAGAGTGACTTCATGACGGGCCTTTCTTGCGCTCTTTAGTTTCAAGCGAAACCAGCCAAACCATCCGCTTGACCGGCCAAAAATGACCAAAGTCGTGACCATGAAAAAATCGCGGCGATGCTAAGAACAAAGGGCGAGGATGTATAGAGGGGTCGATCCAGTATAACGGAGACAAATGAACACCTGGGCTTGGATCAACATCTAAGTTCGTAAGGGCCCTTTGTGCTTGCATCTATGGATCTAACCATCATTGTGCAACAAAGCGTGAGGAGGCCCGAAAATATTGTATTCAAAATGTTGTATGTCCTGCCAAAAGCAGCCGGTGCAAAAATATGTGCGTAGACGACAAAAAAGAGACAAATATGTGAGGAGAGGACGACTGTGTATAACGGAGACGAGGGAAGCCCAGGGGCAGGTTTGGTTCTTAACTCCATTGATCATTCGGACTCATTTGGGAACAAGATTCCATGTGGTGATGAGACAGCACCATGCGGGAACTTGTGGAGGAATTGATATCCGAACTGCCTGTCGGTCTTTCGTATGAACAAACTTGGTTCTGGGCTACGAGCCGCTTGAGCGTCTCTACGCTTGGGATCTGCGTGCTACGCAAAGATAATTGTGCTGAAGCGGCCCCGCTTCCACTACTTGCCCCAGCAGGCAGAGGCCGACGTTATGTCTCCAGACCTTGTCGGACGCCTTTCGAAAATCATAGGCTCCAATCCGCCGGCCCAGCGCCAGCGTGCCACAGCTTGGAGAATGGACGCAGGATCCCCAACAGTTGCAAGGCCTGCCCCCGCTACCAAGCCTATGCTTTTGTGGCCACCGTGGCGTTTTTGGCTGGAAACATACGCTGAGCAGGTTTGTCCAACTACTAGGCCGAACGCAAGGGCGAGGGTTGCAATGATGATTCGTTCGGCTTGCAATGGGCCTTGCCCTTGCAGACAAGCTGCTCTGACCATGTCCAAGGATCGCCGTTTTGCATGCCCCAACACCTTGCGAGACCACACCGGCTCTTATTTCGCGTGTTCGGGCCAACGCTCGTGCTATAGGCCTTCCAACCGAGATCGCGAAGACGCATCATGAAGGAAAGGAGCGACGAGGGCGCCTGGCTGCCCGGGAGCACGCCAAAGGTTCTGAGACGAGTTGCGGACTCCTGGAAGTGTTAGGTGAGCGAATGCACCTCTAGCTTCGTTTGTGCATTTTGCCTGCTCCAATGCTTGTTCGCTTTGTTGGGGACTTTCAGGCACTTTTCTGAGTGATTTGCACGCTTTTCGGAGGAAACTACACAGGCAGCGAATTCGGTACTGCTTGTGGAAACAAGGATGCTGCGCTACTCGTCCCCCGCTCCGGCGCAGCTGTTTGTTGACGTATCTTACGCGCACACATCCTAACTACTTCTTTTATCTCAATCCAGGACTGGTTTAAGCAAGCATTTTGCTGCACACGTGGCACCCGACGCCATACCACCTATGGATTGAACACTTTGTGGCAGCTGTTGTTGCAACCCGCTTCATGAGCACATCAATAACTTCAAGCCAGCACGTGTTGCCTGGGTATGCACGGATCCGCCATGTGCTCTAGGACCCTGCCTGCGCCACAGCTTGTGTGAAACCACGTCGGACCAAGTCGCTGTCAGGTAGCAATTTAAATTGTTTTTTCGGCGCCCTGCCACGCCTCAATTTGCTCGCAAATGTCCAGTACCATCGCTACGAAGAGTGTGCACATGCGTGGCGCGCTTCAGACCGTTTTAGGCAGAAGATGTCCCGCAGCGCTCGATTTGAGTTGCAGCTGCGCTGATCCCTTTCAAGGTGAAGTCTTGGAGTTCCAAAATCGTCCATCAAGCAGGCTTGTCAATGTGCAAGGCTCAGCCCGACAACGACCAACTGGCACCAAAATGCACGTTGGTTCCTTGAATCATTCCGGCGAGTTCTGGTCGACAAGGCGCGCATTTATCCTCGTCCTAGTTGTTTTTGAACAGCTTGCAGGTTGCTGTCAAGGCTATGTACATCCAGGTCCCTTACCCAAACAAGCCAAAAAACGCCTCGCGCAGTTCTTGGAACTTTGCGCATGTGTTGCTTGAATTGCGCACTTTTCCATTGTGTGCACTTAGTTTTGCTCAAGCTACGTCTGATGCAAGTGGTGAGGTTGCGTCGGCAGCTTGACAGAAAATGCCAGGCTGCCTCGCTACGCTCCAGCCCTTGCTCGCCATAGTTTTGTCTGCCCTGCCAGAAATTTGGCTTTAGAATTAAACACGTCTTCTTGGGGCAAGCCTACGTGACAAGCCCCCCCCCCATGTTCCTGTTACCGACCCATGTTACAAAAGTTCTTGCCACACGCCTCCGTAGCAAGACTCGCGCCGCTCTGCACGTCACACACCCTGAGCGAGCACAGCCGTATGACAAACGAACAAAAAAGCACAGGCAGTCCCCCATGCTCAGGTAATTTGGTTTGGTAGCACCCCACAACCCCAATTTATTTCCATTTCACATTGACTTGAAGCACAGGCTCAAGTCCAGCAGTCACGTGGTGAACGACGGCTCACGTGCGTGTGTTGTGTGCCTGTGTGTGCGACCTAAGGTTGTCGGAGCTGCGAGGAGGCCCTCTCCGCTTCTTTGGCACGGCCGAGCGGAAGGCCTATCTTTACCAAGACGATGCTAGCCCGTGTAAGCATGGTAAATGCTGAGAACTGACGATATCTCCTTTGGTTGTTTCACGTATGAGCGTGCGGACGCCCACCGCTTAAAAAACATACCTGGGCACCTGCATGCAAGCAGCAGTTGTTTGTGTTTGGCACATGCACTCCCCCGCTCTCTCTTCTACCTCTCTCTCTTTGTTTTCGGTCTTAGATCTCTCCCTCTCTCTGTCTGTCTCTGTCTCTCCTATTTTTGTTCCTCCTGCTTCCTCTTTTTCATCTCTATCTTCCCTTTTTCTCCTTTCATTTGTTTGCAAGAGTCACCTTCCATCCGCATTGCGGGCAACCGCCCAAACTGACATTGCAGGCGCCTGAAAACTAGGGGCGTGTTTTTTGTTTTTCAGTCCCTGTAATGCCTGCTGGTTTGTCCTCGGTTTTCGTCTCCCAGGCGGCCAAGCGGTCCTACAGCTTGCAAGTCTCTTGGCGAGAGTGTAGCCCGTTGGGCGCGTTAAAGCGAGTGTCAAACGAGAACGACTCTGGAAGAGGGCGGCAAAAAGATGGGCATCGACTGTGTGGGGCATTTACTGTGTGCTAGTCAGCTTCCCAAACCCAACAAGGATGGAGGAGATGCATTCCACTTGTACAAAAAAGGGAAAGGTTGCCCAGCAGACCATTCATAGCTGGGGCTGGGGAACAACTCTCTCGCAATTCTCACGCTATGTGGCGAGCGCGGCCGCTCGCCTTGTTGCCCGTTGTTTTGTTGTATCAACTGTTATTTTAGTGGCAGCCATGATGCTTTTCGCGGCGGTGTTACATTGACGGACTCCTGGAACCTAGAATGCCCCGGGAAGAGCGGCTGATGCTAGCAGGGGAGTACGTTGACAGGTCATGAAGCCTTGCCCTTTCGTGATCTGCCGCGATTTTCCGACGATGGCTGCTTGTCCCTTTCACGGTTGAATCGCATTGAAAACTGTGCAAGTCGTGAAACGGCAAAACAACTCAACAACAAACACTCATGCACTGCATCTTGGCATGCTATCTTTGTTTCTAATCTGGGATGTCCTTCGGAGCTGGCCAGACTAGACAGGGATTTGTACTGCATTTGAGCCTGAAATGGGGCGCAACTGTCAGATGGTTGAGCCAATTTGATTGCTAGTGGGTTGGATCTGTAGACGTTTGGGAAATCGTTTGGGTTTTCCCTTGAACCCGCAGAAAGTGAAGCTTTTGGGTTCGGGGTCAGCAACCAAGCCAAGGGATCTGTCTTTTCAGCTGACTGACTTTGACCCCATGGGGTTTGTGAAGTCATATTTTTCAACATGGACCCTCAAATGACCTGTGAACATGTGTTATTGCCCCAATAATGGGCCGGAATTTCTGTTTTAGAGGAAGTTTGAGGGTCCAGGAGCCTTCTGTTGCGGTTGGTGAACCCCTTTCACTTGGTGATTCAGATCGGTTGAGTTCGAGGGACGCTTCCATGCTCGCGAAGCACTCAAGTGATTTCTTCCATGTCGTTTGGAGTTGTTTTTGGTTTTTGTTTCTTTCCTCCGTGTTTTTTTTGAAGAAGAAAAACACACGTACTCCCATTGGTGCCCTTCACGGATGGGATTTCGGCCAAGGAAATGAAGGACAACGGCGTGGATGCCACCCAATTTCTGCTCCTCGCAGAAAGATGTCGTTTCTTTGTGCCCAAGTGGGTTGGTTGGCTGGCTGGGTGGTTGCCTGGTTGGTCGGTCGGTGGCGTGGTTAAATTGGCTGGTGGGTCGGTTGGTTGGGCTTGTGATTCACAGTAGGACACACTGGCGGGTGCAAGCAAAACCTGCTAGACATCCACAGTTTGCCGTTTGACCGACCTGGAAAGCAGGCAGGTCTTTTCCGAGTATTACTTATAGCCTCTCAAGTGAAGGCATGCAGACTCCTTTTTGCTCAGGGAAATCAACGGCTTAATACGAAGCATTGTCTGGCAGCGCTTTGTGAATCTGAACAATTTCGTGCGTTCGTGTGTGTGTGTGTGTGTGTGTGTGTGTGTGTGTGTGTGTGTGTGTGTGTGTGTGTGTGTGTGTGTGTGTGTGTGTGTGTGTGTGTGTGTGTGTGTGTGTGTGTGTGTGTGTGTGTGTGTGTGTGTGTGTGTGTGTGTGTGTGTGTGTGTGTGTGTGTGTGTGTGTGTGTGTGTGTGTGTGTGTGTGTGTGTGTGTGTGTGTGTGTGTGTGTGTGTGTGTGTGTGTGTGTGTGTGTGTGTGTGTGTGTGTGTGTGTTTGTGTGTTTGTTATGAGTCTGCAAACAACGTGCCATCGAACAATTGCTGGCCACCAAACAAATATGCCATATATTGCTGATTATGCAGGGCATGTGTTTCTCAAGATGGTTGTTTGACCTGACAAGTCAGTATGGCACCTTGGAAGGCCTGACAACCTCAGAATATCTTCAGCATCTTGAAATGTTGGCCAACCACAGCATTTGCCAACTGACTGTAACTTGCATTCATAGCCACACACACATGAATAAGCACAAACAGGAATACTACCAACAGCATGATCACTACCACTAACACTTGCACTTGTGCTTAACACACACATTCAGACAGAGAAGAAATGCAATAACTTTACTCGGTGCTGAGTAAGCGTACCAATGTTAAGGACAGGTTGAGAAACGCAGCTGACAAAAAATCAATGGTCAAAGCATGCCAGCTACAAATACCCACAGCCCCCGTGGTTTGCCGGCACCCCCTAATCCACCCTTGTCCAGCACGTGGTTCAAGTATGGCACCCTTTACTACTCAAGTAGCACAACTCGTGCAGCCATACCTGACACGTGGTGACCTGCGTTCTCTTCAGAACGTGGGGCCGTGGTACCACGAGGCGTGGGTAGCAGGCAGGTCTGCGGGTTTTTAGGGTTTAGGTTTAGGGTGGAGGGTTTAGGTTTAGGGTTTTCAGGGCTTAGGTTTCTGCAAGCAGGTTTGGGTCTTTTTAGGGTTTCGGTTTAGGGTTTTAGGGTTTAGGTTTAGGGTTTTTAGGGTTTAGGTTTAGGGTTTTTAGGGTTTGGGTTTAGGGTTAGGCTTAGGGTTTTAGGGTTGAGGTTTAGGGTGTTTAGGCTTTAGATTTATGGTTTTTAGGGTTTAGGTTTAGGGTTTTTGTGTCGGGGCGTTGGTTCGGGGCGCAGGCAAACCTCAGGGGCTGGCCGTACAAATAGAAGAGAGAGCAAAAGCAAAGAAATAAGGTGCGTCGTGATGCGGCCCAATTCGAATCATCCTCCCACTGCGATTAAGGTTTATTGCATAGCGATGCAGTATTGGCAGCCAACGTCGATATGGCAATGATGTTTATCCCTGCCACAATTTGTTCTTACGCTTGTTGGCCGTTTCCATGCCATGCCACAAGCGAGAACAACTGTCTTTGTTTGCTACTCATAGTCACAGTTTTTTGCCGGGTCACAAGGCAGCTCCACTTCATGGCATTGCCACCTACGCGGGTTCTTCAGCCATAGGGGTTTAGGGGTTTAGTGGTTTATGAATTTAGGGGTTTTGGACTTATGGGTCCGCCTACGTGGGTTTTTCAGCCACGTGTTGCTGTCTGCTTTCTGAGGAATCCCCAGGATAGCACCCTGGACTTCGTGAAGACGGTGCTGGCCGGAGGCGCTCGCAGCTCGCAGCTCGGGGGGGGGTGAGGCCTCACGTGAAGGGCGGCTGAGTTCGCAGACTGCAGGAAAGGGTTCAGGCCACAATGATGGGAATATGCTTTTCCAGCTATCCAAATAGATTTGGACTTGTTGTGCAAGGGCCTGGAGAAAAAACGGATGCGGCTGCCTTTGCCATGGAGTGGAAGGAGAAAGGAAAAAAACTCTCCTCACAGTTGAGCTTGGTGCCAAATGGCACGAATCAGCCTGTAGCTTGTTGGACATTGATTTTGTTTGAACCCGCCTTGCCATTTACCACGCTGAAAGACTCCTTGCCACCGGAACCGCCTTTATTCTTCTTCGCACCAATTTCCACAGGAAGCTGCTCGACCGTTTCACTCCAACAAGGCTGCCCCGTAACCAGGCGCATTGGTTTCGTCTATTCTTGTATATGTTTTGGCCTTTGGCAATGCGTGATACATAGACCATTAGACAGACTCGCCTGGTTTGTCCGGACCTTGATACTTGGGTGACCCAGAAACTAGTGAATTTATATTTGTTTGAGACCCAGAAGGTTGATCTTCACTTTAAGGAAATCCAGTGTCCCCTGTTGCATATGACTCGCAGAGGACCCTGTAGGTTTGTCCCAAACGTGGGTGCCAGAACCCCAACGTGGATAGTTAATTGTTTCGCAACCCCAAATTGGGTACCCCCCCCCACCAACATAGCATTTGGGGGAGGCCGCGTGGAAGATCAGTTTTCTTTGTTCGGTACGGTCGGGTGCCGTCGTCTTCCGTTTGCTGAAATGAATATGTTTTACGTTCCCCCGTTGAATTTATCATTATTGGGCGTACTTTTCTTTTTTCCAGGGGGCCCTAAAAGCGCAAATGGAGGTCTTAATGAAGAGAATGAGTAGCTTCAACAAAACTTGCTCCTTCTCAGTAGCGAAGGAGGGAATGAGAACGGTTCCAAAACATGACACATCCATACGTGTCCTTTTTGGTAGAAATTGGTTGAGAACAAATGATGGCGATTCCTGGTTTACCTGGTGGTTGAATTTTATTTAGCAGGGAAATCCATCTATTTCCCCAAAACCTTGGTGGCTCCCGGCCATCCCCCAAGCATTTTAGCCTTTTCGTTTTTTGTGGTTGGGTTTTCCATTTGCCCACTCAAAGTTAGCCACTTTCAGCGGGGGATCTGAAAAACTGACAGCCCAGAAACATATGACACACCTCCTTTTCCACCAATTTCTACCAAAAGAACACCTATGGGTGTGTCATGTTTTTTTTGTTCATTTCCCCTTAAAAGGGACGCCTATGGTGACACCCCCCATCTCACGCCTTTCCTCGCGTCTCAGCGCTCGTCTCGCCAGTGCTGGCGCTGGGTGGCGCCGCCTTCATCTTGGCCGCGAAGCCGGGGCCCGGCTTCGTGGTCTTCGCGGCTCGGAGGAAAAACGGCGGGAGGTCATGGCTCCATTTGGACAGCCCCAAGGTACCTGAAGTCTCCATGACGCTTGAAAAATGGGGTCAAGTCCACTTTGCTGTCAAAAAATGGAACCCTGGCGGAGGCTTTTCGGTCGCTGCGATGTTTTGTCGCTTTGGGTGCCCGGTTTCGGTTGGGAAAGAGATGGTGCATTTTGCCAAGGGATGTTAGGACTTTGACTGTTTGCCAACTAAGGGGGTTTCCATTTAAACTACTAAAAGTGAAACTTTTAGCAGGGAAGCAGAAATCAACCAGTAAACAGTGACAGATGGCAGCCAAAAGGACTGCCATGTTGGGGCGAAGCCAGCTACTTTCACACATGAAAGTGATTCGTCTGCAGCTACCAACTATTCAGAACATGGCCAGAAGCTTGCCAGTGATATTTTGTTTGGAGCAGAGCGGAGTTGGTTTGTTTGATTCGAGACTGTATGTTGTTGTTGACTAGAGTCGGGCTCGCTTGTTTGGAAGCTCGACTCCCGCATGGTCCACGGCAGACACTTCATGTTTTGCAGATATGTGGACAGAACGGGGCATGATGCCTCTACAGGGCGGATGGAAGTGTTGCCTTTCATGCTCAACATCGCAACGAATCTTACCACAGATATTGATTGAGGCATTTGTGATGTACCAATGCTAACCACAAATAGTTTCGTTGCACTTGAAGGATCGGTCCTTAGAGCGTTCAGTCGCCGGCTGTTTGTAGGAAGGACATGACTTGTCGGACATGAAGTAGGCAGTTCGTCGCAGCTCCGGGAGGTTTCTCTTGCAACACTGACATACCGGCTAAACTGAATGAAACCCCTGCGGATGCGGATGGTTTGCTTCCCTTCAAATCAGGTCGATTTGTGCAAGTTGTGTGGCCTACTGGAATTTAGGCGATCATGCTGCCTCGATGGGGACACTGGGTGCGAAATGGATCGCTGGAACATTGTCGCGGCCCTGCAGTGGGTTGGGCGCTATGGTTCCTTCAATGATGACCCTACTTTGCTAAGAAGCAGAGCTTGCATCCGCATGTGTTGGTTCCTTCAATGGTGACCCTGGGTTCTTTGCTAAGCAACAGCAGAGCTGGCATCCATCCGCATGTGTCACTAAGTGGAAACCAGCTTTGGTCTAAGCCTTGTTGCTTTGTGTAACACTTTGCCGTGTAGCCCTGTGACTTGTGGTGTGCAGCGGGCGAATCGCCCCCTTTTGTTTCATTCTGGTGTTTTCCTCCTTATTCGCCCCTTTTGAGTCAAGGTCTTTAAACATGTCCACCTTTGATTTCTAGGCCCCTCTGGCAGATAAGATTTGAGGTGTCAATCACTGCGATGCCTCCTGTGGTTCAGCCCAGGCGACGCTGGTTTCGCTGACAATACTCTTCTTTGACCAGGCGCTCTGAGCAGTCGCTGGTCTTTCATCACGATTCTTTCATGACCAAGCTTGAAAGAAACAACAACTGATTGATTTGGAATGTGAGATACTGTGACCGAATCAAAGTTTGCTCTTAGATCGGGTTTTCTCCGTGGAAGCTGCAAGAGGTCAGATATTCTGTTGCGCAGGCGAGAAGTAATTGAGACTCAGACAGCAGCTTTGCAGTCTATTCCAAGAATGGTAAAAGAGGGAAGCAAAAAGTGCACTTGTATCAAACCTCATGGCTGCTTGGTTTGCAATCTTTGCAACGAGGAAACCGTTTCGTTCGTTTTATGAAAGGAGCTCGGCATAGGCGGGATTTCAGGAATGATCCTGCATGTGTGGCAAAAAGCAAGGCAAATACGCACGAGTCCAATTAGTTCGAGCACGGAGAGAGTGAAGCTGCCTCTTTAGGCAGGTCGACCGACAAATGCAAGGGTTTTCTTGGGCCTGTTTGAGGGTACCCTTTTCGGGTTGGTTTGAAGGGGAAACACCATGTTTGCTGGGACCGGTCCACGCATGTGCTCCTTGAGCGGATGACTCAAGGAGTTGGAGGACATGTTTGGACTGAGTCTCCATGCCTTGGCTCGGCCGGTTTCGCTCCGCAGGTTCTCAACAAAGGCTTCGGCCGCAATCTTAGCACGCGCCTGGATTGGAGACGTGATCACTGTTCCGTGGGAGTGTTTTTTTTGGTTGGCCTGCTGGTGGGTGCTTTCACAAGTGAGAGGCTTCACGACTTCTGTGAGTGTGTGACTGATTGACTGACTGACTGACTGGATGACTGACTGACTGACTGACTGACTGACTGACTGGCTCTGACTGGCTCTGACTGGCTCTGACTGGCTCTGACTGGCTGTGACTGGCTCTGACTGGCTGGCTCGCTCGCTGACTCACTCACATACTCATTGACTGACACAAGCTCTTGTTTTGTCAGTTGTTTGGATTGAAAAACCAAGCAGCAACCTTGGAGCTGGTGAAACCGTAGATACCTACATATCATACCCTTGTTGAAGGCGCAAGCTGGTTGAGTGCTCGGAACACAAGTGGACATCTCTTGATTCTTGGTCCAGGTACCTGCTTGCTGACAAACACCTGCAGAAGTTGACTGGACCCCGAAGGAGTTGTTTCTCTCACGGAGCCAAGCTGTTTTTCTCAATCAGCTACAAGAAGACATTGCTTAGGTTCATTATTGGGGGAGCAAGGATGCAGCACACATACCAAGTTGGTCATGACTCCTAGTGAAGCCCTTCAACTGGGCCCTCTATTGGAGGCCAAGCAAGGTTCTGTTGTGGGCCAGTAATCGCAGCTGTGGTTCCCAGTGGACATGTCGGTTTCAAGTTTGCCGGCTTTCAGGGTGGTTGTGTGACGGCTTGCCCCATGATCCCCTATGATTGTATTCGGCATTGGATTCGTTTGGTGATCCCACTGCTTGTCTTGCACCAAAATCGAATGCACCAGAGTGCGGGCAGCAGAGGAAGGGTGCAAACCTTTACATGAGCCACAAATCAAAACCCGGGTAGATGAAGGTTAGTAAGGGGCGATCCCAGCCATAAATAGCTGCGGCCGCCTTCTTAATCCTGTACATGGTTCTGGGTAGACCATTTTAGTACCAGGTTTTGATTGCGACTCACATGTTGTCACTCTCGCCAAGAGCCTAAATACCACATGCCCAGAGGTTGTCAGGAACATGTGCATGAGCCTGCAGGACCAGCAGTATTTCTAGACATGGCTATGACTTTGTATAGGGACCCCCCCAAAAGAAAAAAGAAAAAGAAAGGAGAAACAGGTTTGATGGGCATAAGTCCCCATGTAGATGATGCCCACCAATGGGTTTCTCGAGAAATGAAAAAAACTAGCGAGACACCAAAGCAACATCACCCCCACATGAGCTAGTTCTCAACTCTATGGGAAGTTGGCCCAGGCCCTGATACTTGGCGGGTCTTTGCTATAGGTGTTCCTGCAGTCATCGGGATGTCAGTCTCTCAACGTCTCAGCCGCCCTTTGTGTTGCTCCTCCCTCCCATTCCCTCCACGTTTTTGCTGGGTGGTTGGCTAATTTCCTGTGGATATATCTCCGTTATGGCATCGTTGACCACATATTTGCGTGCTGGTTTCTCATATTTGTCGCCTTTCCCCTGGTGGCTTGCACCCAACAAATGGAATCGACAAACGTATACAGCCATGCCTTTGTGGGTGCTCCCCATCTAGGTCCCCCAGTGCCCTTTCTCACCCTTTCTTTTTTGGTTGGCAGATTCGGTTCCCCTACTAAAATAGAGCAAAAGAGAAAACAAAAAAAAGAGGTACCCTTATTCTAACCTCTCTACGCGAGGACCTAGCCGTGTTGGTTTCTTGCTTGCGCATTTTGTCTCAAAGCCGTGCTGTTCGCCCGTGGATTTGCTGTCGCTGGGACAGCCGGCGTGGCCGCCGGCTTTGGGGATCCTGGCTTTCGGGAAGGGTTCAAGTAGGTCCCTCTCTTGTTGGGGTTGGGCATATATTCCTTGGTCGACTGTTATATCTTTTTTAGTTCCAGGTAACCCTGAAATGGTGGTTTAGATTGGTGGTTTAAAGAATTTGAACCCTTCGAAGGTGCCAACTGGGGAAGGCCTGGTCCAAACTACCAAACCACCAAACCACCGGGTCGGTACCTAAGGTGCAAACCCCACACCACGAAACCACCCAGGGGCAAGGTGAACCACTTTGTGCTTCTTGTAGAGGGTATGATGGGAACCACTCCCTCACCAATCCAAACCGGCTCCAAACCACCAAACCAGCAAGGGGTAAGGGGTAGAGGGCCACCTCCTCACCCCGCAAAAAGTACCCTCCCACCAACCAACGTGGAAGTGCGCAAACTTTCTAAAAGGAAAGTCGTCTTTCGACAGGGGTCTGTGCACAAACCCATGGAATCGTCGGTGGGGGTCAGCTGAAACCCCCACCTTTTTCAGCTCGCTCGGGTCGGCTCGTCTTCCTCCGCGTGTTTTCTTCTTTTGTTTTCTCCGCTGCGAGGTGAGCTGCTGCTGCTGGACACCTTGGGCCGCTCCGTCAGCGCAGACTACGGGCAGCGGGTGGCCTGCCATGAGGCGGGCCACTTCCTGGTGGCCTACCTCCTGGGCGTCATGCCCAAGGCGCGAGGAATCCGAGGAGATCCGAGATCCGAGATCCGGCGCATGGGGTCGAGTGGTGCAAGGTATGGAAATGAAACGACCCTAGCTGGCGTCAGGGATTGTCCATGTGGTTCTTTTGTAGTACACCAAGAGAAAGACGACCATTCTTGGGATCGAAGACATCCATTTGTATTGCAAGTGACCCGGTGAGTTTGGTTGAACATCCCAACTGGGGGTCCCAAGCTCACTTGGATTGCTTTTCATCTCCTTGAACCCGCGCGATGCCATTGTTCCCCAAAAAATGGTGGTGACTCATGGCCGTTTGAAAGGGTTGTTCAACCCGAAAGCCGCAATGTTTGGGGTGAAAACTTAAGCCTTGGTCGGTGTCACGGTTGTCCTTTTCGTATCGATGCCCTTAGTTGAACATAGATGGATTGCACTGTGTTCAGTTTGGTGCCACCCAGGTATCAGCTTTGGGACTACCCTCGTCGGTACTGGGAGCACTCGTGGGCACATGGGGCCGCGTTTTCTTTTCTTCTCTCCACGTGCCCAGTCTGCATTGTCAGGCGAGTCAACACGCGGCACTCGTTGTTCTCCTGATCCTCGCGTCAGATTTTTCTTTGTCTCCCGTTGAAGCCTAGGGCACCTCGGTTCGTCCAGCAAGTTGTTTTAAAGGATTTGTTGCGTTACCGACCCAAATTGAAAGATCTATCGCACGTAGATAGCAGAAAAGAGCGTGGGCATGTCTGGGACAGAAGTTGGACAGCGGTTTGCAGTTATCCCGGACGTTGTCGATGATGAGACAACTATGATTTTCCTGGCATTGTCAGGATCCAGGATGCTCATCATTTGCCGTACCCAATGAATAGTCGCTCCGCTGGTCATGTCATTTTGCCCATTTAGAGCTGTGACAGGCCTTGGTAACCGGCATTTGCCTCGGGCACGGAAGGTGTGTCAGTGCGCTTGATGAAATCAACAAGGTTCAACCAGTTAAATCAACAGGCCATTTGCACCTTGATGTTGACCCCCTATCAATCAACCCCAGTTTATTAATAGGGGGTGTTCCCCTCCAAAAGCGATGATTCCGCACTAAACCCGGGACACCCCCCTATCAGCAAACTGAGTTTGATGAATAGAGGGTCAACATTACGGCTGCTTGCTTGCAACCTATGGAGCATGGTTCTTTTTGTTGTTCCCCTTCAGGAAGCCTCCGTATGTTTCTTGTATCAGACCCCTTCACCAGCCCTTCAGGCCTACACGTTGAGTGCCTGGGAAGCTTTCTCCAAGTACAACTCCATGTCCACCCAAGCGGGCACCGTCTTTCTGGACGAGGCGCGGGGCGTCGCTCGAAACTTCCGCATGGCGCACTGGGAGAAGCGGACGACGCGGTCTCGGCGTGTGTTTCCCATCCTGCTTTGGAGCGGTTGCTTGCGGAACGAACGTGACACATGGCAAATGAATGCTGGTCCAAGAAAAAGGAGCTAGGCCCATGAACGGTAGAGAGGCGGATTGGACGTTGCGATGAAGCAAACACCCAAAGACAACTTGGGCCTGAAGGATAGGTTCCTTGGCCAACTCTTGGCTTGATGCGGGCCAAGTTGGGAGTGGAGCACCTGAGCACCCTGTGGCTGATGGGTACCGGGCTTCAACGGAGTCTGTCCGAATGTCAAGAAGCGGTTTCTAAATACCTGGAATCTCCATGACCCTTAGAAAATGGGATCATTCGCCAAAATAAAGGGGTCATGACCCCATTTTTAAAGGGCCAGAAGGAGACTCCAGGTATGTCTTGGCGTCTTCCTTCTGATTCCCTTTGCAAAACTGTTTCAGAATGGTGAGGCGGTTTAGGACACGCCCCATGATATGTTGTTTAAATGGGCTCCGCCGCACATTCGTAGCCTTGGTCCGTTTTCATGTCAAGCTTGGCAGGCCTTGGTCCGTTTTCAAGCTACGTAGTAGACGTTGAGCGCCGTGCTCTTTCCACTAAGCATGTCCACCATTGCAGCATGCCAGCGAACGTAAGCAACTCTTGCTGGAAGCTGGCTGCTGATCTGCGGCTATTCCTGTCAGGCTGCGGTATGTTCATGTCTGGAACTATTGTGTTGGCGGCATGTTGCTCCACTCGTACCTTAGGTGTTTTCTGACAGGAAGACTTGTTGGGGCCCTCCGCCGAGCCAAATCCTTGGCGGATGTCGCAGGCCATCCAGCGCGAGATGCAGTCAGGCCAAGTCTCTGGCAAGACCTTGGCCTCTCTGCAGAAAGCGGTTGATCGGACGGTCGGGCGTCGTTCAAGAGGTTGCACTGGCCTTGGCTGCTATTTGGTTGGATCTTGAGCATCAAAACCTTTGGGAGGTGTGTGTTTTGCGCACTAAGCCCCACACACAAATACACTTGTTGCATGGGAGGCAGCAAAGAAGGTTCCAGCTTGCACTAAAGAACAATCATGCTACTAGAACCATTCTGTCAGAACTTAGAACCATTTAGGATCACCCAACAATGTATCACCCGAGGGATGGTTGTGTTAAGAAGAATCGCATTCAGGATAAAGCTAGTTCGACTTGGCTGTGGTTTTTCACTTTGGCCCCTACTGACTATGACTACCAAAACAAGCACAAGTGTGTTGGATGCTGATCCCTTGTCCATTATGTTCAACCATTAACATCTGTACCAACTACCCGTGTTCCTGGTGTTTAGCCGGTATCCGGGAAAGAACATATAATCAAGGGAACTTGCCCCTCGACTTTGAGGCAAACAAATAAGGGCTTAGAATTGTGGGACCCCAAAAATGAGTGGCTTTCCTTTGGGTTCCCTTTTAAACCATCCACGTGGATCTCAGAAAGGCACAGCGCGCAGTGCAAATGCCTAGGC